ATTCTCACTTTCGACTGTCTGTCTGTCTTTCCTTAATCTTGAGAATGAAGTTAGATGGATGAAATCCAAAACCAAATGTGGAAACCATGGGGACTGGAGGCTCCAATTAACTACAGTAGACCCCTATAACGCGGAGATATGTTCCTTGTTATACGAATTTCGCGTTGTAGGAATCCTTAAATACATGAGCCAATCGCAGCCCATGTGTGAAGTTTACAGAGTATGGCTGTTTGAAAGGTTTTCTTCCATAAAATTATTCGATTTTAGACTAATTCGACTTAACATTTCCAAAATACGTATAATTTTTTGATAATAATTCGTATAAACTATGCTATAAACAAAAAATTGTAGGATTACTTACCGAGTGTACCTCGTTCGACGTTGCCATTGCTTAAGCTTGTGTTTGTTGTGGAGCAGCGCACCAAACGGTGGCCGCAATTTCTGATGTTATTTTTCTGCGAAAAATTTGTTAAACTTTGGAGACATCATTAATATAAATAATTTTAATCGCCGTTGAATAAGAAATGTTTCTTTCACAAGAAATGTATAAAATTATAGTGCTGTATTAGATTTATGGTACCTAATTTACATACTGTACAGACAATAGTAAACTCAACTTACTCACCTAAACTCTCCGTAGCGTGGCACTGGACGGCGGAAAGTATATATATAATTATAATAAAGTTACAATAAATTAAGTTAATATATAATTATATATACAGTACCTAATTTATATATAATTATATGTACAGTACCTAATTTAAATATAATTTATATATAATACTGTACAGACGATAGTAAACTCAACTTACCCACCTAAACTCTCCGTAGTGTGGCGCTGGATGGCGGAAAGTAGTTCAGCTGCTCGTCCGCGATGACGTTTTACCGCGTTTTACGCGTCCCTTTTAGCGTCTTTATACGAATACTGTCCAATTTTTTTGCCGCATTATAGGAATCTACATTATAGGAACCCGCCTTATAGGGGTCTACTGTATATACAAACTTTTGATGCAAACTGGAAGTCATGTTATTTCAATTCAAAACTTTCCTTGAAAGCAGTTAATAGATGGTCGGCATGGCTTTGCTATTAAAGGAAAAGTATGATGTTTAGGGACAAGACACGACTAATAATTTGACGTGGAGAGCATATATTTTAAATTAAAATATAATTAAAAATTGCACCCCAGCGTTGTGATGATATCACAATAAATAATTGCTTGTCAGAAATAACTATCTGTAACACACAAAATAAAATTTAGTATCTTTATTTCAAAACATGTTCTGGCTTAGAAAATGAAATCATAATGAAGAAAAATTTTTCTAATATTTAAAGCTTTCTTAATCTAAATCATTAGAATTTATCTGCATCTGTTTTAAAGGCTTAATTATGCTATGTAAAATTAAAGTTTATCTTTTTAAATGCTTGTCGTTAACACAGATTTCTTTCTATCAACTGTAAGAAAAGTTCCATTTAGATTCTGTTTCTTATTCATCATGAAAATGTTCATATTACCAAAATAAGCATTTGTTTAAGACAAACTATCTTGTTATTTTAGAAATGTTAACATAATATCTACAAAATATCTATCTACAAATTCATAATTTAAATTAGATACAACTATTAAATATCTTATTAAAATTATGATTTTGTATTCAATGCATATAATTTATTTCATTTTGAACTACTGTATTATGTTACTATGTACAGTACATACAGTACTTTTGAATGCTTATGTATGGTACTGTATATGCGTTTTCAAAATTGAACATACATAAACATATATATACAGGATTGCATGAAAACAGACAAATATAAATAGACAATCATTAACTTGTTGAATATTTTTAAACAAATTTTCATATACAAGATTTCAAATATACAGGGTGAGTGGAAAGTAACTAGACATTGAGAAATTGCTATAATTTTTGTAATAATAATGCAATCATAATTGAATTTGTGTGTGCATGTACATCAATCAATGGAATTTTATAATTTCTGCATTGGTGGTGTGGGCAATGACTTCAGATGCAAAAAAGATGGCGACCTGACCACTTGTTTGTTCAGTAGTGTGCGTCAATTGCTGCATGCTATGAGGTATAGAAATCAGTGGCTGCTGTGCAGAGATTATGACATATACCGTGTTTCCCCGAAAATAAGACAGTGTCTTATATTAATTTTTGCTCTGAAAAATGCGCTAGGTCTTATTTTCAGGGAATGTCTTATTTTTTCCAAGAAGAAAAATTCACATTTATTATTGAACAAAAAAATTCCAAAGTCAAACTTAGACGAGAGTGATGTATATCCGGTGTGTCAAACTGTTGCCTTTTTATAGCGTCAACATCGGACTCGATGACCAATTAGTGCTTACTAAACCGTAGCACTATGCAAATGTCATGTGGTGTGATTCCCGGCCGACCAATTAGCCATCACCAGCCGTAACGTTATGCAAATCTGTGATTCCCAAGCCATAGTCTTATGCAAATCATGCCGTGTGGCGTAATTGTCTGCTGACCAATCAGTGGCTGTACTTTCAAAAAGCCAACGGCCACTTTCAACCATCTGTCGATGACCGTTACGATTAAAAAAAACTTCGCTAGGTCTTACTTTCAGGGGGAGGTCTTATATTTCGCAAGTAAGCAAAACAGGTGCTAGGTCTTATTTTCTGCGGATGTCTTATTTTCGGGGAAACACGGTAGTGCCATAATCTATCTGGAAACAATAAGAATTGTCATTTGAAGCTAAAATGACCACAGGTTTGGTTGCAGATGCACAGATAAATGACTGTTTATCTACAGTATGATCTGAGGAAACTTGTTGGTGGATGATGCTGATGCCTACATTGAATTTTAAGGTTTGCATCTTGTATTTCCATTTAATAAGGCACATGTTGAATAATTTTTATCATATTTGCATTAGAAATATAGAAATTATAGTAATTTTTCAATGCCTAGTTACTTTTCACCAACCTTATTCAATTTATCTACAGTTGACCCCCCTATAACATTGTTGATAATTCTGTGTTATACGAATTCCATGTTGTACAAGTCACTTAGATTTTACAAATACGTGAACCATTCAAAGCTCAGCACACATATTTGTAAAATCTAAGTGACTCGTACAACATGGAATTCGTATAACACGGAATTATCAACAGTGTTATAGGGGGTCAACTGTATTTATGTTTTGAAGATTACATCATTGAAGTGATACTCATTCATGTGCAAACACTTTTCACATCTTTGAAGTATATCATACAAAGAGCTTCTCAGATATATTATTGATGGCATGACAAATTTTCCTTAAGAATTTCAAGTTTTTGTGGATGATCTTTATATACCACACTCTTTGTCCACAAAATATTGAAACTCATAAGGTAAAAATTTGTCATGCAATAACATATCTAAGAATATGTTGCACTACTCTGTACATAACATACTTCAAAGATTGTAAGAGTGTTTGCACATGAATGAGAGTCACTTGCATGCTATCATATCATTATCAAAACGTAAATGGCAAACTGTTATTTGAAATCTTGTATGTGAAAATTCGTTAATAAATATGCAAAAGTTAATAATCATCTATTTATAATTGTCCACTTTCCTGCCAGACTCTGTATCATATTTCTGCACAAATAAGAGCATGCTACTATACATGAAAATTGTTATCACATTTTTGAAACGTGTTCTGCCTTGCATACTAGAGCATACTTAGCACATGAGTATGCTCTTAAATTTGCTAGCTTATTTCATTTATAAGAATACTGCATTGCCGAGTCAGTGATGAGGTCACCTGATTTCATTAATATGGTAAAGGGAATTTTTACCACTATCAGTGTCTGATTTTTGTGTTAGGGTTTAGGTATATTTTAGGATTTTTCTTGCAGTAAATAGAAATCTAGTAAAATTTAGTAAAACATTGTTATGTACAGTTGACCCCCTATAATGCAGTAGATACGTTCCGCTTCATAAGAATTTTGCGTTGTAGGAATCCTTAAATACATGAGCCAATCACAGCCCGGCACGTGTGCAGTTTACGGACTACGGCTGTTTGAAAGGTTTTCTTCCATAAAATTAATCGATTCTAGACTAATTTGACTCAACATTTCCAAAACACGTATAATTTTTTGGAATAATCTGTATAAACTATGCTATAAAGAAAAAATTGTAGGATTACTTACCGAGTGTGCACCATTCGACAATGCCATTGCTTAAGCTTGTTTTCGTCGTGGAGCAGTGCATCGAATGGCGGGCGCATTTTCTGATAAGTTATTTTTCTGCGAAAAATTTGTTGAACTTTGGAGACATCATTAATAGAAATAATTTTTATGACTGTTGAATAAGAAATGTTTTTTTTTTCACAAGAAATGTATAAAATTACAGTACTGTATTAGACTTACAGTACCTAATTTAGGCCTATATACTGTACAGATGATAGTAAACTCAACTTACCCGCCTAAACTCTCCATAGCGTGTAAGTAGTTCGGCTGCTTGTCCACTATTGGTCCAGATTCGACCAATCCTGTCATGACATGAGTCGGCGATGTTTTACCACATTTTACGAGTCTTTTTTAGTGTCTTTATACGAATATGATCGCAATTTTTTCATTGCAATATACGAATCTGCATTATATGAACCCGCGTTATAGGGGGGTCTACTGTATATGAAAATGACTTATAAATAGTCTTGCACACTTTTTCAGCTGTGTAACATTTTTATTGTATACACTAAGCTTAGTGTATAATTTGGTATAAAATAAAAATGTTATACAGCTGGAAAAGTGTACAAGGTAATTTGTAAGTCATTTTGTTAATAATTCCAGTTTCAGTAGAACTAAGTTATATGCATAGTACTATACAGACAGAATATTATGAAAAAATTAAATTGTATCTCTGAGGTATTGCTGGAAAAATATCTCGTTTCTTTAATTTTAAAATCAAATCTAATCCATTGGATATACTAGATTGGATCAGGAGGCTATGGCAATTGATGGATTTGTTAAATGACATATTTAATTAATGATATCATCAACAAGGGCAATGAGGATGCAGATTGCAATACTAGTATTGGTAGTGATGAGTCTGAAGCAGAGGTTTGTAGTGATGAGGATGATGAAGATGAGACCACTGATGAGAGCAAAGATGAGGCTATTCACTATAATAGAGATAGTGATGATGAACTCTGTGAGAAGTGAAGAAATGTAAATGTACTGATACAGTAATTATTTAGTGAAATCTCAGAGGTAACAATATTATAAATAAAAAATCCAAAATTAAAACATGTTTCTGATGGTATAAATGTTTTTAGATATATTGGAGATTTTTTAGGTACATTTTGGAATATAGTTCTATTGTAAATCTATGTAGATGAAATGCATTGTCAATTGGAAATTGTAACTGAAGGTGAAACAGTATGGAAAAAATATTTTAAATTTAAGTACCAGTAGTTTGATTTCTGTAAACCAGCTTATTTAAAAAATTATCACCAATATTAGAGTTTATATGTAGTTTCATTTCTTAAGTAACCCATATTTTAAACTTTTGATTCAATTTTTTCTTTCTAAAAAATGAAAATTTGAAACATGAAAACCACAACAGCACAAGAAACTAGAACAATATATATAAAATCTCACCTAAACGCAAAATTTCCAACGAAACCAGCAACGAAACACTTAAATAGGTGAGATTCTATAGAAAATTTGAAATATCAAGAAAACCTTCAAAGTTTTTATGCTAGAATCTTTAATAATAATCTTTTTTAATGGCTTTTTTTCAAATAAAAGTAAATCTTATACTATATGGTTTCATTTGTTTTAAATTAATATAAATATTATCAAATATTCAAATTCAACTTTGTCATTCAGTATATTATAAGATTTTACAAGAAGAATGATGTTTTAAATTTTCTACTTCAGTTGTTTCTCAAACATACATATTAAGCTTTATTACAATTTTTCTTCAGAAGTGGAAATGAAGTTTGCTTTGTTGGAAACTTTTATTTAATTAATCACCTTGAAATTTATCATCACCAAATATAATTATCAGTTATATTAAATTTTGATATTGTATAACAAAATTTTTTAAAATGTTCTTTTAAAAGTTTTTTATTATGAATTTTAACTTACTTTTGCTTAAAATTTTAAATTAAAAAAATACAGTATGAATGTTTTATTTTGGATTTTTTCAATTATCTGAATTTATTAAATATTACTAAATACATTAAAATTGCAATTGAAGACAAATATAAAATAAAATATTTTGAATCTTTTTACATGTTTTTTTCAAGTCTAGAACACAATTTTAATAGTGTACAAAATAAAATATTTAAAATACAAAATATTTTGTATTTGTTTTCAATTTTAATATATATTGTAATATTTCAAAAATTCAAATACAGTTAGTTGATAGATACTTTGGTTTTCTCATCTTATTAAGCAATATAATTATTATAATTTCATAATTTTTTCTTTTTTAATTTTTTCTGCTGATGTATTTAGAGGAAAGAAGTAGAATTTCTCTTGATTTATGCTATAAATTGAGTTTTATTTTAAGAAACATTATTGAAGTGGTCACAAGTAAGACTCATATTGGTTATGTTTGAACAAATGTTTTACTGACATCTATTAAAATAAACAAAAAAAATGATCAATTTTTTAAATTGAAATATCACTATAGTGTTCTCACTTACTGTATATTAATAATACAATAAAAACAAAACCATTATTTGTTAAATGACAGATAAATACTATACATGTTTTGTCATTAAAATATTTTATTAAATGTTTTTTCAAAAATGAGAATTTGAATATATGGATTTGGGACACTTGCCAACCAAGATTTGACCTTGAATATTTAATAAATTTTTTCAAAAGTAATTTTTTGATTTGAATTTAGTTTGTTTACTTAGTAAAACAGTTTAGTTGTTGCCATTTCTAAAAATATGAATTTTACTAAAATAAAACTTTATTATTTATATACAACATAGTATATTTAATAAATAATATAGTGTTTATTTCTTTGTTTCTTTAGAAATATAATAATTACAGGTGTTATATGCTGTTACTTAGTTTTGAAGATAAAATTATAGCATTTATTCACAACATATATCAGTGTGTAAATATAACATTTAGGATATATGAAATGAAGAATAATAAAAAGTTTGTTTAATTATTTAATAAACATTTTTGTAAGTGTCTTAAATTATTTTTCTGTTATATACAGAATAAGAATTTACATGATTAAATTCAAACTTACTTTTGCTTCTTTTAATTTTTTTTAATATTTTATGAAATAATAAAATTATAATGCATAAAATTTACATATATACTGAACATGTTTATGATATTTTTTTACATAATTTTTGATATACAGTGTCTAATTTCTAATAAAGAAACAAATATAGCATTTCTTCATTTCTAAACTCAGTAAGCATTTTTTTTGTAGTTAAGTAGAATATTCACAAGCAATTAATGATGCTAAAATAGCATCATTAATTGACTAGAAAAAAAATTAAAAAATGAAAGCATTTGTTCAGTTGTTTAATAACAGATTAAATAAGTGAAAAAATTCTTTCATGTACTGTATTTACTCACATATAAGATGCCCTTGCATATAGGACGAGGTGTGACTTTAAAGATCAAAATAAAGAAAATTAGATTTGTTAATACAATTCTAATTTTATTTCGTTTAATCACAAATAAAATATCAAACGAATGTAAATGCACATATTCTCCCGTAAAAATTACTGGCATTTTTAACTTTAAGGAAAAATCTTGTAAAATCAACACCGTAATTTGTTCATGTAAAGCTGGACAATCAAGAACCTTTTTTTGCCAATTCTTAACAGTCAAATCCACTCTGTCAATTACACTTATGAGTTTCTCCAAATTCTGATTTCCAAATAATCATGTTTTCAGTTGGGAAGGGATTAAAACTTATATCAGGCTCTCGTGTGATTTTGGAATTTCAATCTGAAATTCAAATTGGTTTACACAAATTATTTGTAAAAACACAAAGAACTTTCACTCACGCATATTGGATGACCTAGGAATTTGAAACTGTGATAAATGAATAAAAATCTCATCTTAAATGCGAGTAAATATGGTATTTCATATAAGTCATCAACAAATAGATTAAATAAGGATAGTCTTGAAGGACCATTCTTACTTAATCTGTTTGTAGAAGACCCACTACTGATACAACTTCATCAGTTAAAAATATAATTCTTTTAATTTGGTATACAATATCAAAAAATAAATTCTTTAGTAAATTAAAAAATCTTTGGTATAAACTCTCTTTACAGGATACATTGCAAACTACCTCATGACAAATTGAATCAAATGCTTTATACAAGTCTTCAAAGTATATAATTTTCAATGTTTTTCTCTTAGAAGTAATTGAATTATTCCAGTTAATATAAATGTATTATATTCTGTCCTCTTTTTGCATAAAATGAACCTTGAAACTGCATAATATCTCTCAATCCATTGAGTTAATATATAGCATGATAGAAAAAAATCTTCCTAACTGAATTCACTATTGCAATTAATCTGTAATTATTTGGATCAGTTATATCATATTTTTTTATGTATTGGTTTTAGGACAATGTGCTTTTGAATTTTGGAGATCTTTGCAGAAGTTAAAATTTTGATATATATCTATAATAGATTATTAATCATATTTTTAAGAACTTTAAAAAAAATATTCAAAATTCCATAAATTTTTAGGGCCTTCTTCATCTTAATATTTTCCAATTTATTTCAAATGAAATGTCCAAAATATAATTATATTTTGGACAATGCAACAATATTAATTACATATGAGGGCAGTTTTTTCAACCTCTGATGGTCCATAAAATAAAGACAAGTATAAATAACAAAATGAATTTATTACCATAAGTTAGGTATAAACATTTTACATTTCAACATAATCACCATGAAGATTGAGGCATTTGTCATATCTGTGGATGAACTTTTTAATCCCCTCTTCATAGAATGTTGCCATCAGTGACTTTAGATGGGCCTTAATGTTGTTTTGAAGATCATCATTAGTCTCAAACCTCTGCCCTCCTAGCCACTTTTTCTGTTCAGGAAAGAGGTGGAAGTTGCTCAGCATTAAATCAGGTTAGGTTAGAGATAGATCAATCAGGTTTCATGGGATATATGCTGGGTGTTTAAAAAGTTCCAAGCTGGGTGGAAGTCTGAAAGGTAGAAGTCTTCACATCTTTAACATGTGAAGACTTCCATCTTTTTCCTGAACTGAAAACATGGCTAAGCAGATAGAGGCTTGAGACTAATGACAATTTTCAAAACAACATTAAGGCCCAACTCAAGTCACTGGCAGCAACATTCTATGAAGAGGGGATTGCAAAGCTCTTCCACAGATATGACAAATGCCTCAATCTTCACTGTGATTATGTTGAAAAGTAATCATGTTTGTACCTAACTTTTGGTAATAAATTCATTTTGTTGTTTACATTTGTCTTTGCTTTATGGACCATCAGAGGTTGAAAAAACAACAGCCTATGTAGTTGCTGGTATTGGTTTGGTTCTGTGTTTAGACATTCATGTATATAGTGAATTAATTTACAAATGTATAGAGACATAAGCAATTGTGTACATTATAAAAATATTTATTAATTATCAAATCAATACATTTATTGTTTTCTGTTTAAAATTTTTTTTATGTCAGCTATTTTTTCACTTATTATTATTATTATATTTTTGTATTAATTTTTCTTCTTTTGTTGTATCACTGCAAGACATTTCTTGCTCGTCAAAGAAACAAAACTGGAGATACTGGGCAAGTGAAAATCCTTGAATTCTTTACAAGGAACCTCTGGCTGCACAAAAGTTGTGATGTGGTGTACAGTAGGCATGTGTGGGATTATTGGCTCCTATATTTTTAAGATTGTGTTATATGTCCAGTAACTGTGAATGCAAACCACTACAATGAAATATGGCAAAATTTCCTAATGCCTGAATTGCAAGCATGAAACATGGCTAACACAATTTGATTCTAACATGACAGAGCAATAGCAAACACAGCTTGCACAAATGTGGCTCTACTCCAAGAGTTGTTTGCCAATCGCTATCTCCTGCTTTGATGATTTGTACTAGCCATCCTGCTCCCCAGATTTAACATTTCTGGACTACCTCTTTTGAGGATATCTGAAGGTAAGAGTCTTCACCCATCATCTCCATACAGTTGAAAAGTTGAAGGCTTCCATTTTTCAGGAAATAAGTGGGATTCCACAAGACATGGTGCCACATGTCATGGATGCTTTGCAGTGAACTTATAAGAATGCAGCCATGCTGGCAGAGGACATTTAGATGTTATTTTCAAGTAGCACGAATGTTCATATATAAGTACAGGCAGTGGTGATATTCAGCGGGTTCGCACAGGTTCGGCCGAACCTGTTGTTAACATTTTCAAAGTTTTCCGAACCCGTTGTTAAACACACGTAACATTTCTCAGCGGTTTTGTTTTTTTTAAAAAATATATTAAAATATACGTATTCTACTCTGTAACACTACTAAACTAGAGCCTTATATCCCGTTCGCCATATTCTAATTGTCGCCGTTCGCATATAACCTCCATCGACCGTTTCAATCTCGACTGAAACGAGATTTAATCGCGTTCGACTCAAGANTAAAAACAAATTTCATAATAAAAATAAATTTGATGTCTTTAAAACTATTGTTATTATTTGAAGAAAATTTTACTTTGTAATGTTATGTGCCTCTTGTTAATATGAATAAAGATACTAGTTGTGATGGAAATTGTTTTGTATATACAACTTATTTATATATTTGAGGTTTAAAAAATTAAAAATTACTTATTTTTAAAACTTTTTTATTGAATATATTTTCAGTTGTAATCTACAATACTAACTCGTTATTGTCATTGATATGAATTATTCATTTATATATCTATCTTTATCAGTATATTCAAGTTGGACATACTATGTAGATGATTTGATGAGAACTGCTCTTTGAAGCATGATTTGTGTTTGTCGCTGTTTACCAACTGTGTTGATTCTTGGGTAGCAGCTGATTAGTGACACTATGGCTGTGATAATTAGTTCATGCTTGACAATTTAGTTTCCTCAATTTTATGTCTATCTCTATCCTGAAGTTCATTAGTCACTAAACATTCTCATAATGACAAATGATGGGAATGGTTCCCCAAGGACCAGACTACAACTCAGTAAGTTTGTTTTCGATTTCCATTCAGAGAACTGCCTTTTGTTATATCATGGTTCCAGTTCTAGAGGGTGAGGAGTCCCAGGGTGGGAGTGAGAGGGGACATAGGAAGGCCACTGAGGTGTACTTGTGCAGGAAGACTTAAATATTTGCATAGAAACCCCATTTGTACAAAAGATGGTGCTGATGGCAGAGTCATCTGCCAGTGGCAATTTGCATGAGAAAGGTAGGCCATCATAAGGTGCCTGTCGTTGACTTCTGCCTGATTTTGTGCGTCTCTGATGTGCGGGGATGCAAAATAATTTGACGAAAAGAAGAGTCGACACTGACGGCAAGCAAATTAAAAAATACTCCCCAGGAGTCATTTGCAAATGAAAAATGTCCATCCCTGGTGATATCAAGCTTTGTATGCTGCCTGTCACTCCAACATTCGGGTGGGATTTCTCCAGAGTTTCCCCTCTTTCTGTTGAGTTATTTTGAAAAGTTCAGAAGAGCATTAATTCAGTTGCAATTTACAATTCAAATCAGTTGCCACATTTCCATACCAAAAAGGATGGAAAGAGGGGATGCACTCAATTCGTAGATGTCCAAGGTTAGCAGTCCAACTGAGAGACTGCAGCTTGCTCATCTGAGAACACAGTTCACTCCTTCTCCCTGTATTTTTAGTGAAAAGCTTGATGGGTGACAAATGTGGCATTTAAGTTCCTATTGGTCGGTTAAAATGAAGGAGTGTCGACACCATTCATAGTACTGTTGTAAGTTTGAATTGATTTTAAGTGCTATATACAAAATCTTGTTGTAAAATTGTTTATTACATACGAAAGAGAAAATTTAATCATTTTTATTTTAGATATGTATGTGTATAAAAAATTTTAAACTTATATAAGAATTGAAGATTTAAATATTTTAAATTAAAAATATGGAACCTTTTTAATTACTTATTAAAATTATTTTTTGTTGTTATTCATTTGTAAATATTATTTTAATGAGTAATGTCATCATTATTTGGATTGTCTAAACAATTTAAATATTTTTTAAAACAGTGTATTAAATGTTTAAATAAAAATTTATTTCAGCTATAGGAAATATTAAAAATAAAAATTAAATAATTATTTTATAACAATAAATGTTTAATTTTTATAAAAGTAATAAATTTATCTCAAAAAATATTTTTTGTAAATGTAAATTATATATATGAAGTATATCTAATTAAATAAAATATATTATTTTTAATAGGCATTATCATAGAAAGCAAAACAAGCTTAGAGTTCTAAGACAAAAGGCATTAAATAAAAATCCCGATGAATTTTATTTTCATATGATCAATTCTGAAATACAGGTAACAAATTTTTATAGATGTTCATTTTTATTATTATTAATAATATTATTTTATAATGAAGTATTGATTTCTTTGAAATATTTTTTACAAATGAATGAATCATGAAATTTTTACAGAATATTTCGTATTGAAGTGAACAGAAAATAACTATTACAAAATATTACGATTTTATGGGAAAAATTTAAAATAGCTATATTTGATATATGAGTAAAAATATGGTTTCTTATATACAACTGCTTAAAAAATATTTTGAAAATTATTTATGACAATATAAAAATTTTATTTTTGAGATAAATTTTTTAATTCTGTTTAGACTATTTTTATGTTAAACAATATAACACTTTCTTTTCCTCTTGTTTCCTATTTTTAATTTTACTGTGACTAATATTGGAATTTGTATTTATTCTTATTGGCTTATATTTTGTATAGTTCAACTAAATTTTTTAGAAAGCGCATAATGCAGATTTCTCATTAAAAAATTTCTAAAATGTAAATATTACTTAAAAGTGTTAATTACAATGAATAATAAATGTCTTTATAATTAGAATGAATGTTAAAATTACATGTTAACTAATATATACCTGTATATATATATACACAATAACAATTTTGAGTCAACAAATACTTGAACTGTGATAATTTGTTTAATAATTTCTACATTGTTTTAAATAAACACATTTAACCTATAAAATTTTATTTTAATAATAATAATAATAATATTTTGATCTTATTACTGCATTTTACAATAAAATTTATAAATAGCAATTAAATAGATACATATAATGTAACATGCATGCACGCATGTGTATAATACAAAAATTTTTAATTATTTAACTTTACACAGGCAGTTATTTATTGAGACATTGTCACAATGCTTATTTGCAATTTTTAATTTATTTAATTTAAAATATATTCTCTCCACTTAAAATTAGTAATGACTTGTCCCTGTACTGTACATTATACTTTTCTTTCAACAATAGAGTAGTGTCAGTCATCTATCTAACACTTTACAGGGGAATATTTATAAATTGAAATAACATGATTTCTGGTTCACAAGTTCTTATATAGTTAATTGGGACCTCCTGCCCCAATGTTTCTATATCTGGTCTCGTCTTTCATCTATCTAACTTCGATCCTCGGATTAAGAAACTACAGATGGATAGTGGTGAATTTATGGGTCTACATTTTTTCAAATAAAATAAATGATGATAAGTTATTTTATTGTACTCTAACATTTTTTTTTATGCAGAAACTTAGTTGATATGATCAATAATGTAAATATTCTTCATTTACCAGTAAAATATTTTAATGAAATAAAATGTTTTTGATCACTTTTAGTAATCATCATCAATTTTATAACAGCTTAAGTTCCAAAGATAAATTCAAAATTGAAAACATTATATGCATACTGCTATTGCATGCATATGTTGCATGTAGTATTTCTGGTTGTTGACAAGACTATGTCTTGTTTATAAAATCGTACTGCCTGCTGTGTTACCAGCTTAGAAGTATGAAGGAGTACATGTCAGGAGTTGCAATTTGACACAGAATATTAGGTGCCCAAATCATGCACACATAAAAAAAAACCAGACTTGTAGGTACTCAGGAAACCGAGAACTGAGTCAAAATAAAATACAAAATGGCAACTTGCTCTACAAACAGGCAAACTGAAGTCAGGTGGTGAGAGTACCACCCACAGCTGTTCTAGGAAGTGGACTCTGATCCTATGACTAAACACGTAGTATTTTCTTTGTTAAATAAAATTTGTAATCTAATTTTGTAAATTTGGGAGTGCTTCAAATATGACATTAAAACAGGGTTTTATGTCGTTACAAGTAGGTTTTATTAACATTATCTAGTATAGTAAAAGTGTGGGACTGATAAAAATTTGACATTATATTAGAGTTGTTGTTATATCTGGTGATGTTATAATCGGATTAAACTGTATATTGTTTGTGCAAAGTAAAAAATAATTTTGGATAATACAATAGCCACAATTATTTTTTTCAAAAACTGGAAATTTTCATTATGCATTGACAAAAATTCAATCCAGGCCGACATACAACGGAGAGAAATTTCGAAATTGGATAGGTTAATTTCATCAAAAATGCATCGTGGATGACCTTGTGGTTGTGGCTGGCGAAGTTTGAATGATTGCACTAAAAAGCAGTGATACCAAAGAAGATTGGAGAATGAGAATGAGATCCACCTTGTGTCAAAGTGATTCCGCTTAGTAGCGAGTCTCCAAGACATAGTCTTGTCCCAAATACGGTTTTGCCATTTTACTTGTTTTGAATATATCTTTGCACTCAAGCTGTTATCAACCTAAGATAATTATTAAAAATAATCAAAAATGTTTTGTTTTATTAAAATAGATACTTAGCTGAGAATTTTTAGAATTAGGTTTGTAAATTAGTCAAAATAAATTATTCTTTACATTATTGTTTTTCAATATGAGACTAATATCTATTATTGTTGTTTTTATTTTTATTCATGATATACTGTAAATATTAAAACAGACAAATATAATATTCATGAAGCTTATTATCTTAGAGCATATGTCCATATATTTGCATATATGATTTGATTTATACATTCCAATGCTTGAACTATTTTTATTATCATAGAATTATTACACTTATTGAAGAATTTTTGAAAACTTTCTAAATTATTTTGAAAAATTAACTATCAGTATAGAAATAATGATAATTTATATCAATTACTAAGTAGCTTTTGTTTAGTACAGAATAAAATACTTTATTTTGTGGTTATTACAAATATGGTATTTTAAGACATTTTACAACTAATTATTAAGACATTTTGAATGTTTTAGTTGAACCTCAACAATATTAAATTATTAAGTATTTTGACATATTTCATCTTTATATTAATAAAAACATTTTACATATGATTTATTATATTATATACAGTGATCACATCAACATCTTTTTACTGATAACCAGCACTCTGATTGGGACACAAGGAATGCCTTGATAATGCCTTCAAAAACACTATAAACTACAAACAGTCTTGTAATCATATTTTGAATAGATTCTTGAGAAACAACATGATAATGTGAAATTTATGACCACAGAAGAATTTTTAAAAAATTGGGTATTAAACTTTTAATTCAAAAATGTTTAACTTGAAGTTGGGATTTTTTACTCTAAACTTTGACATAACAAGATTTTACTGTATTTATGTAGTATAGTATTAAATTTGATTAAATAAACAAAATCTGCTGTAAGGAATAAACACAAGATCATTATATTTTCAATTATATACTGTATACAATGCATTCAGTTGTATTGTAAGCATATTTTTGAATTGAATATACCATGTGAATACATTTATAATAATATATAGGCAGGATTCAAATTTTATATTTTTGCATTCCTGCACATCTAGTGGCAAATTTAAGTTTTGTTAGGAAAACACTTTCTTTAAGTGACACAGTGATTGCCTGTGAGTGAAAGTGTTTTGTTGTGATTTCCATGTTCTTGTAAGTAAAACAAATTTTTCATTTAATTAAAATGACAGTCATTATCTTGTAATTAGTTCTATTTATTTTTTAATTTATAATAGAACATCATTTATACAATTTTGTTAGGTGTATTAAATACTCGGCTCGGATGTCACGCCAACAGTTAACTCAATCAAAAACTTCATCAAAAACTTCAGATTATGAGGCGTTAAATAGAATTAAAAGACATATTTTAATCTTGCATAGAATTAAATAGAATTAAAATATTTCTTTTAATTCTATTTAACTCCTCATAATCTGAAGTTTTTGATTGATTTATACAATTAAACACACATTATGTAATGTATAAGAAAATAAAATTTTTTCTACTGAATGTTTTTTTATTTTCATTATCAGTTTCCTTTATTGTTGGTGGTTACATGTTTTATAGATGGTAGGATTTCTTCTGAATATAGTCTTATGATCTGTAGCTGCTCCTATTTCTTTGCATATGTGTTGCAGGATAACATATTCAACAATTGGCCTGGCATGTGCATCATTTTTCTGTATGTCTTCCATTTCTGGCCTGTATCTTTTGATCATAGACATTAGGATGCATGGTTTGAAATAACACTGATTTCCAAGTGTTCTGATGTACTCAAGATCCTGCATTTTTTTGTGGACAAACTATTTAACTCAAATGGAATTTTGATACAACATTTTCATAAACTCTCTGGAATTTTAATTTAAATAAAATAAATTAATGTTCATATAACAAACAAACTAATCAGAAACTTCCTATAAAGTGTGGGAACCATGTACAACTAAAATTAAACATAGTGTCATGTGTCATAGCATCATAGATGGCGGGTGGGGATGGTTGCTTCCAGATTGCTGATGTGACCTAGATACTGTAACTACCATTCAAACTTGCTTTTTTCCCTAATATTTTTTTTGTTTTATTTGATTACTGATGGATTTCTGCACTTACATAATAAATAAATGGATTTTTCGTAAATTAATTTTTAAAAAATGTTATAGTCTGATTCTATGTAAAATCTTTGCAGCAAATTTAAAAAATATAACAGTCATAAAGAGTGGTATGTTTGTGTTAAAAAATAAAAATCTTATAGCATATATTTATTCTTTTCTTCTGTTTTCTTTCTGCCACTTTTTGGGAAAACTAAAATTTAACTGTTGTATGTGTATTATAATAAGAGTTAGTACAACCAACCACACAACTATTTTTTTTTTAATGTTTTGATATGTTTTATCTATTCTCTATCTAACTAGTGATGATTAACTATTCCAAAACCAATTTAATGTATCCAATCAGAAATCACAAGAATGTAGATAGATGGATTGATGCACTTCTATAATCTGTCTATACTGCAGAGAGGAGGTAAGTTTTCCAAAAATAATCATAAAGCATTATTGCATTATATACATAGTGATTTCTAAGCAATTCATTTACTGAACAGTTTGCAATCTACTGGCTACTTACTGGATTATTAATGCCTTGCATAGGATAATTTTA